CATGCCACGGTTAGCACTGTTGCCTCACAGCAGTAAGTTCCTGGGGCTTCTCTGTGTGGAGATGTTCTGTGGGTTCTCTGTTTTCCCCTCACAGACATGTGTGGGGTTAAGCTCACCAGGGATTGTAACTTCACTGAATTGCTATCGGTCTGTGATAGCCCTGTGTCACACTGTTCAGGGCAGGGGTGGGCAATTCCAGGCCCCTGCAGGTTTTAGATCTCACCTTGGGTCAACACACCTGAATCACATGGTTAGTTCGTTACCAGGCCTCTGGAGAACTGCAGGAGCTAATTTAGCCATTTAAATCAGCTGTGTTGGTTCAAGGACACATCTTTTTGGACAAAACCTACAGGGACACCGGCCCTCGAGGCCTGGAGTTGCCCACCCCTGGTCCAGGGTATACCCTGCATCTTGCCCTGAGTATCCTAGGTTAGGCTCCAGTCCCTCCTGTAATGATGAAATGCAGATATAAGCTCTCTAAATATAGAGATATATCTGTAAGCTCTCTGAACCTCACCGTTTAAACAAAAAAGGGCTGAATTGAACTGGAAATACTCGGTGTAACTATAAGTATTGCAGTTTAATACAACACTGCAATGAATCGTTGTTTAGCATTTAATGAAGGTTGTTAAGCTTTAGTTGAAACAGTTTTTCAGGGGTATTTATTCAGTCTTGTAGAGGGTAGTTTGTGGTGTGCTCAAACCAATATGCAGAAAAAATGTTTAAAAACTAAAAATAATTTAATGACAAAAGAGATCTGATGACAGTAAACTTAATGGCGATAGTTTTAACATAGGGCTGTCGAATGGGACAGCATTAGTAAACGTTATGTGGGAATAATTCTCAATGTTTTTCTTGTCTTTGCTCTTTTTCTAAGAATCTACATTTTCCATACTGTTACGTACATACACCATGTGTGATGTAATGAACAGGAGCGACTGCTGGCAAACTGCTGAGAGGCCAAACATGGTGTGATGTAAAGTTCTTATCAGCTTCACTGTGAACTTCAGTCGCCAGCTGACGTCACCACACTCCCACTTCTGCCCCCCGGCCCAAAAAAGCACATCTTTAACATGAAATGTAAAAGCTGTTAGACTGAGACAGATAATAGAAATCATAAATGAGGGGTAACAGAGCAAAAACTGTATGACGCAGCACAGAGGGGTGATTTGCTGTGAGGCTCGACCATAAAGTCTGTGGAACAGATCTTGATTTAGCCGGTCAGCTCCGAACGCTCTTGATCACAAGCTTTTTGCTGTCATTGGCTGAGAGGGGAGACGAGCCTCTGGTGAACCCTGATACCGATCTGTTATCGCTGCTGCTTGTGGCACACAGTTCATCTGAACAGTTAAATAATTATTGAGACAATATTAAAGTCGGTCACAGATCCTGGATAGAAGAAAAATCCGCTGATAAACAAATTCTACCAAGTGAAATGAAAGAAAATGCACACTCCACAGACTATATTTGAAAGCATGAACATAACGTTTAGAAAGATCGTCATCAGTTAATGACACCTGTGGAAATTTGGATGGAAATAATCGTCAGTTTCACACACCCAAAAAACGGGGACGTTATATGGTTGTTTTTCTGTGTGAGGTGACTTGAACATTGACTTTCTGACAGTCTGTGGACTTTGAGTTGACCCAGGTGTACAGGAGTACACAGTAACGCCTCTCCGAGGATGTCATAAAAACGCCAGCCAGAAAACATAAAACCACAGCAAATGATGAGTCTTTCCTTCCTGCTGAATGGGGCCCGGTGTGGATTTTAATCTGACCAATCGCATCCTGCTCGGTACCAAAAAATCCACCCGAGGATCAAAAGGAAATTTTAATTTCGGATCATAATCGTAAGTGTGTTTCATGTCTTGAGCATCAGTCCACTTTGATTATTGATTAACCTTTCATTTAAACAGACAAATGATTTGTACAAGAGGTTAATGTTTATGTGGTTGCTTTCTAGAAGAGAATCTTACACTGATTTTTTTGTTTGTTGTTTTAATTGTTATTTCTGTGCGTGGATGCGTACCTGTCGTCCCAGCAGTAGGAAACATGGTAGGACTTAAACCCTCAGACGTTCCTCCTCCTTTGGGTGTGAAGATGGCGAGTGCTGGAGCAGCAGCCTGTATAGCTGACATGGTCACATTCCCTCTGGACACAGCCAAAGTCAGACTACAGGTACTAACTGTGCTATCAATATGATCTTTAGCCGGTCTTGCTTTGCTGTAGCCTACTGTGGGACACAGCGTGATGTTTGCCTCATTGACGAAGAAGTCAACTTTGTCCACTTCAGCACCCTTCAGTCAAACTTCTTCACCTTTCTGAACCATTTGTTCTTAAGCTGCTGCTCTGTAAAGCTGGTTTTAACTTTGAGGACAATGTGTGACCCCAGATTCAAGGAGAGAAGAAGGCAGTGGGGGACATCCGCTACAGAGGGGTGTTTGGGACCATCAGCACCATGATCCGAACAGAAGGGCCCAAGTCTCTGTATAATGGTCTGGTGGCTGGGCTGCAGAGACAGCTGTGCTTTGCCTCCGTCAGAATCGGCCTCTATGACAACGTTAAAAATTTCTACACCGGTGGCAAAGACAGTAAGTTGTTGCCTTTTCATTTATTTTTTGGTTAAGTTAATTAAACCTTCATAATTGTTCTTACTGGTGACAGTCGTGATTTCGAGATTTAATATCCAGCTGTCAAAAATCAAAAAGATGTTTATCAGATAGATGCAGTCGGTCTTATATTCCCTTAGATAAGGAATTCAGATGAAGGAAAGCTTCATTTTAAAAATAAAAAAGTGGGGAGAGTGAAGGAAGGCTATGTCTTGCAGACAAACATGCAATAGATAATTTACGCAGAACAGAGGCTTTTCAAATCTGATAAGTTAAACAAGATTTAGGGAAAGTGTTATCTCTCTCTTGAAAGCGATAAAGGATTCTCACAGTCTGGGTTGTTGAATCAGTTTCTTATCTTCCTTATTAAAACTGATACTAAAATTAGAAGTTCTCAAGCCTGTTATTAAAATAACTGAGTCTTTCCTTCTCTCCAGACCCTAGTGTACTGGTACGTATCCTGGCTGGCTGCACCACAGGTGCCATGGCGGTGTCCTTTGCGCAGCCCACCGATGTGGTCAAGGTTCGATTCCAAGCCCAGATGAATCTGGACGGAGTGGCCCGCCGCTACAGCAGCACCATGCAGGCTTACAGACACATCTTCCAACACGAGGGCCTGCGTGGGCTCTGGAAAGGTACATTCTTTGAGTGTTGCCCATTATTTAAAAAAGACAAACCATAACATCCTTTATCAGTAATGATTAAAGTATCCGTTTCCCTCAGGAACATTACCCAACATCACAAGAAATGCCCTGGTAAACTGCACAGAGCTGGTTACATACGACCTGATAAAGGAGGCCATCCTTAGACACAAGCTGTTGTCAGGTGAGGTCAGCTCACGGTTGTTTGCCTGAGCTACACAAACCCACACACACACATTCACAAAAACAGAGTCCCCGGGAGACTGCTGATTTGGCAAAAAATCCACACACCCTCTCACCTCTTTAACTGATACCAGCACAACAGGCTCCTACAGTACAGGACACGGTGTATTTTCTCTTTATGGTGCAGTGAGTACAATAGCAATATATTAGCATTTATCTCTAGAACTTATATTGCCCCATTCAGACGATTGCAAAATCCACTGACATGTTTTTCTGTGTCGCACAGCTGAGAACAAAGACCGTATTGTAATCTTTTCCCCAACTCTGTCCTCAGACAATCTGCCGTGCCACTTTGTGTCTGCGTTTGGCGCCGGCTTCGTTACCACAGTGATCGCCTCCCCAGTAGACGTGGTAAAGACGAGATACATGAACTCACCACCGGGCCAGTATAAGAGCGCCGTTAACTGTGCCTGGACCATGTTAACTAAAGAGGGGCCAACAGCATTCTACAAAGGGTAAGCCTCTTCACCTGCGCCGCCCACGACAAACTCTTCAAGAGATCCAAATATCGATAGTATCGATACTTTTATATCCTTCACGTTCAGTTTGGAGCCCACTGAATTAAATCGGGATAAAAGGAAAAATATTCTTCAGGCATACAATGTGAAAAATGTCTGAGTGTTTTTGTGTTGACTGATCCTTCTACTCTATAGCGCCTTTTAAAAAAAAATGGTGAAATGAGAGGTGTATTAACTCATTATTGAGTAAACTAATGCAGTGGTCATTAAAAATTGATGATTCATCTCATAAATCATGATTATGCTCTCCTCTAAATAACATGACATTATAAGTTAAAAGTATTGGTATCGGCAATACTGGCCTTGGTATCGGTATCAATCCAAAAACAAATTGCAGCATTGCATGACACACAATTTCATTTTTTCACTCTTCACTTTTTCCATTTTGTAGATTCGTGCCCTCATTCCTGAGGTTGGGATCGTGGAACATCGTGATGTTCGTCTCCTTCGAACAAATCAAAAGAGCCATGATGGTCACAAAGCAGAGGATCGAAGTGGTTAATTGAGATTCCTCAAAGTTTGACTGTAATACCTGAACCACAACCGGACTGGCACCTGAATGAGGAAACCCTAGTAACAATAATTTCTTGTGTTAACCTTATTTAACAAATCCACTGTCCTGTGGTGAGAAAGGTGGAAATCCTTTGTTGAAAAAGGATCGCCTCCTGAAAAAGTATTGACTTTATGTGCATGAGGAGACACAGCCGTCTCCTTTTATATTTATAATTTGCCACAGTGAGCCCATTCCAGATGTCATGGATGGGAATATTACAGAAACATGCCAAGTTTGCACTGAGCCCTGTATGACTAAACCTGTCAGTTTTATATGTTAGCTAGCTTAAAGCAGTGTGCCTTTACACTGAATGACTGGTACCCATAATAAAGCATAAAAGGATGTGTTTATGCAGGTCCTGAATATACTAGACTTGTTTTACACAAACTGTTGTGGTTTGTTTTTGCCTTTTAAACACATGGACATGAAGCACATTTCAAAACAAATCTGCATTTACTAACTTGGAGTGAGTGAGATGCGAGTCGTTACATACATTCCTCAAATGCAAACACACGGCATAAAAAGATCAGGTCATAAAAATTCAGCATCAGTCTAAAGATACACAACGTTATGAAAACAGGAGCTTAGTATAGTTTAGAGTACCACATCACTAACAGTACATTTTACAGTACAGATCAATGACATCAGTGGGAACACGTTAAATCATGCAAGACTTAAGCTGACAGCACCACAAGAGGAAAAATAAAGTGGAAATCACTCCTCACGTCAAGTTTTAGCCATTATCTCTTAACATAAACTTCACATTCCTGAGCAGGACTTCTGTCCTTTCCTGTCTTTAAATATAACAATTTGGCTGCTTGCTCACTCAAAGTGCTTAAAGCCTCACAAAACGACGGATCCGTTACTTTCTCTACAGTCCTCTTTGTGATCGAAAGCCCTCTGGAATGGTTGTTTTTGAGGTACAGGGCGTTGGATTTGTGCTCAGTTTGAGAAACTTTAAATATCATTACAACAATGATATGTGTGTTATGAATGAACCACAAAACCAAACACAAGAGGATTTATTGGTCTGGATCTTGTCTGGAGGGGCCGAACAGTATTCAGTCTGCGTTTAGGGTTTTAATGCTCAGCTACGTTTACGAGGAACTTTCCTGCTTCTCCTTCTACCAATCGTAACATCGTGAAAAACGCTTTTAGTTCTTGGAGCTGACAGTCAATGTGAGACACACATCAGGGTCCTGTAGGTGTGTCCTGACTATGTTATGGAATTTTTCTCTGTATTGGTTGAACTGCATGATGCTCTCGGGTTCTTCTGCCACCCAGAACTTATCGAATTCATACGCCAGATAGCCTGTAAGGAGGAAAGACACATTTTTGAAAAATTTACCTTCTATCAGAAAATGTTTGTTTGTATACACTCACCAGGCAACTTCCTTAAATACACCTGTTCAACTGCTCATTACTGCATATTTAATTGGCTGATCACATGGCAGCAACTCAATTAGGCATGTAGACATGCTCCAAGTGGCCTACTGAAGTTCAAATTGTGACTTAAGTGACTTTTTAAGTGACTTTAAATGTGAACTGGATAGCAGTGCCAGATGGACTGGTTTGTTTCAGAAACTGCTGATCTGCTGGGATTTTTCCACACAACCATCTTTGAGTTTAAAAGGGAGGAAATATTCAGGGGTCACCAAAATTGGACAACAGAAGAAGATTGGAAAATGTCGCCTGATCTGATGAGTCTCGATTTCTGCTGCAACATTCAGAACTTGGCATAAATACCATGAACGTTTGGATCCCACCTCAGGCTGCTGCTGGTGGTATCATATTTCCTTGGCACATTTTCTTGGCTCCTTTGTACCAGCTGGGCATCATCCAAACACCACAACCTACCTGAGTATTATTCCTGACCATGTCCACCCCCATTATGATCACAGTGTTCCCATCTACTGATGGCTGCTTCCAGCAGATAACACATTATGACACAAAGCTCAGACCATCTCAAAGTGGCTTCTTACACATGACATTGAGGTCACTGTACAAAAATCCACAGTCACTATCACAGTCACACTGGCATCATGGACGTATTTTCAACAAATCTGCAACAACTGTGTGACGCCATCATGTCAATATGGGCCAAAATCTAAGAAATGTTTCCAGCACTTCATTGCCATGAAGAATTACAGCAGCTGTGAAGCCAGAGAGGGGTCCAACCCAAGATTAGCAATCTTGAGACTGCACCTAATGAAGCCACCGGTGAGTGTATAATCAGACGCACAGAACAAACAGCAGTGTGATTCGACTACTCACAGTACAGCTGATGAAAGTGCTGCAGCTCAGGCGTGCCCTGCACTGCGTTGTAGAAATGTGGTTTCAAAGCGCCACTCTTTAGCAGGCTGTAAGCCATCTCTGTCAAGTTGATCCCAACTATTGCATAGGAATACCTTTAAAAAACAAAAAAGTATAAAGTGCACTGTAGAAATGACATACTGTGCATATGGAAAACGTAATTTCAAAAAATGAATAAAGTCTACATCATGCGACACAAAACACCAGTGGAAGGTATATGAATCGAAGGTCTCTTACCCTAGTTTAGGATGGTTTGCATGAGACAGCACCTGCCGAGCCTCCGCTGTGTAGTTTTCACTGAAAAAACTGCAAAGAGCCAAACAAATTAAGAGTTTATTTACGGTCTCTTGTTAACCAATAAACATGACGTCAAACAGAGTCTGCATGATTAAACATGTTGAGGTCACATCATTCTGACCTACAGATTTTAAAAATAAAGTCAATGTGTGTTTGACTGGTGCTGCTTTAATAATCTGACACATCGCTTGTCATTTTGTGTCCTCGTCCTCATCAGTCGAAAGAACAAGTGAAACGAGCGACTGACGTGTTGGGGGTTGCCTTTAAAGTCCTTCAGCCTCAAAGTCCTGTCTGACATGCTGTCACGCTCTCTTTGTCCTGTTGAATACTGGTTCTGCTGGCTCATTATTCAATACTTGGAGGAGGAGGTGTTATGACAGTGTTTCTTTTTATAATCCTCATTAACGTTCTCTTCTTTTCTTTTATACCCTTCCTACAGCTGACTGGCTGTAGAAGCCAACCTGCATGCATTTAAAGTCAGAGGTGGTGAAACAGCCACCTCTACTCCATCAGCACCACTTTTGTCTTTAGTCGCTATCTCTAGCACTGTTTAATTATTTTTCGCTGAGTTGGGAGTTACTGACAGTCCTTCTTTTCAGTCTTTGTTTCAAATATTATTTTATAGGTGAAGCCTGAATCTTGTTGGTTCAAAGCCCTCTCCTTCTTGTGTTTGTTTCTGCCGGGGCTCCCATCTACCTTACTTGGTGAGGTTTTGTGAGTAATTATTGTTGTACCCTAAAAATTATCTGTTGGGTTACACTGAGCCATGCATTTGGAGTGGAACAGTGTACCTTATACGTACCCTTTGAGCTGTATCTACAACCACCTTTCATAATCTGTGTAAGGTAATTAAAAGTATTTCTCATCAAAACTTGAGTGGAATATAATCTTAGGATAAGTACCGTTGTCGCTTCTTGTGTGTGGATCGGTTTAATCATTAGAGCCTACCAAATATAAACATTCAGCAAATTCAGCCAAAAAGCACCTGATGGGGGAAAAAATGTTTCCAAGAATCCTCAAATTTCATTACAAAACCTATAAGAGCTGATGTGTGTCAAAGTTCATGCATCTATAATCAGACAGATTGCACAAATATGACCTGCATAGCAAGCGTTCTGTTTACTGTCCAAAAAACAGAAACGTCACAGATTAGACTTTGCCAATAGGTACAGAGGCAAAGACCAGGACTTTAGTGTGCTGTGGACACACTGATCAAAGAGAGAGTGGTTGGGCCAAAAAAAAAAAAAAAAAAGTACACATGTTTTGTGCTGACCAATAGTGTCTTCTTGAGAAAAGAGCATAAACTGTGAAAACCTGAGAACTTTGTGGTCTCAGAAAGTGGGCAGGTTGCAGTTCTTGATTCAACTATGACAGAGTTCTTCAACATAAAGTGAGGCCAAAACCAGAAGTGGACCTTATAGAAGGATGATGATTCTAAGTAAAACGAGTAAAGGAAGCTTCGCCCCAGAAAGGCAGCAGGCCCAGACAAGGTGTGTCCTAGGATGCTTAAGGCGTGTGCTGCTGAACTTGGGGAGCCGCTACAACGAGTCTTCAACCTCAGTCTGCGACTGGGGAGAGTGCCCGCCCTATGGAAGACATCCTGCATCGTCCCGGTCCCCAAAAGGAACCGGCCCAATGAGCTGAATGACTTCCGACCGGTGGCACTGACGTTACATCTTATGAAGACTCTAGAGCGGCTCTTCCTCAACCTCCTCCGACCACAGGTACAACATGCCCAGGACCCACTACAGTTTGTGTACAAGGCGGGTGTCGGAGTGGAGGATGCCATCCTGTACCTCCTACACAGAGCCCACTCACACCTGGATGGGGGAAAAGGCACGGTCAGGATACTGTTTCTTGACTTTTCCAGTGCCTTTAATACCATCCGGCCCTGTATGCTTCAGGAAAAACTGAACAGGATGGAGGTGGACCCCTGCCTGGTGGCTTGGATCTCCGACTACCTCACCGACAGACCACAGTACGTCAGGCTGAAGGACATCACGTCTGACACAGTGGTCAGCAGCACAGGAGCACCACAGGGAACTGTGCTGTCCCCTCTTCTCTTCACCCTGTACACCTCTGACTTCTGCTACAACTCTGAATTATGCCACATTCAGAAGTTTGCAGACGACACAGCCATCATGGGGTGTATCTGGGATGATCAGGAAGAGGAGTACAGAAGTCTGGTGAGGAACTTTGTCGCATGGAGTCACACAAACCACCTGCAACTCAACACCTCAAAGACTAAGGAACTGGTTGTGGACTTCGGGAGGTCTAGAGCAGGTCCACTGCCGGTTCAGATAGAGGGGGAGGAGGTGGAGGTGGTCAACAAGTACAAGTACCTCGGGCTGTGGGTGGACAATAAACTGGACTGGTCATGCAACACAGAGCACCTGTATAAAAAGCCCAAAGCCGACTGTACTTCCTCAGGAGGCTGAGGTCTTTTAACATCTGCAGGAAGCTCCTGAGGATGTTTTACCAGTCGGTGGTTGCTGGAGTACTTTTCTATGCTGTGGTGTGCTGGGGGAGCAGCACAGCAAAGAAGGACTCATGCAGGCTGGAGAAACTGATCAGGAGGGCTAGCTCTGTGGTCGGCATGAAGCTGGACACTCTGGTGACAGTGGCAGAGAAAAGGACATTAAAGAAACTGATGGACATTATGGACAATGCCAGACATCCTCTGCACACGGCCATTAACAACCAGAAGAGTCTGTTCAGTGACAGGTTGCTTCTCCCAAAGACAAGAACTAACAGACTTAAAAACTCCTTTGTCCCACACGCCATCAGACTGTTTAACTCCTCTCTGGAGGGGAGAGGGAGGGGAGACAGGAGGACAAAGGAGGGGGGAACAACTAAGCTGTAGTGCCTCTTCACCTCACTGTGCAATACCTTATGCAATACTTTTGTAAATAGTCAACAGTGCAATAGACCTCAATACTTGAAATGTGCAATTCACTTGTATTTTTATTTTTTATTCCCATTTATTCCCTTCGTATATTTTATTTATATTGTCTCTGTATTTATTTTTATATATATATATATATATATACATACATATATATACATACATATATATATATATATGTGTGTGTGTGTGTGTGTGTGTGTGTGTGTGTGTGTGTGTGTGTGTGTATATATATATATATAATATTCTGTAACTCTGTAACTTCTGTCGGTGCTGTGCTTTTTTGGAAATCGAATTTCCCAGAGGAACCCACCCGAGGGATTAATAAAGTTCTATCTAATCTATCTAATCTAATCTAAATCCACCAAATAATGTCAGACAGAGGAGAAATGGAGCGTTCTGGAACGGCCTAGAAAAAACACAGAGGACTGTGGGGGGTTTTTGGCAAATATTTTTGTAAAATCGCAACATTTTTGGTGTGTACATAAATGATACACGACAAGTTCACATCCCCCAAAAATTCAGAATTTCGTGTTGTTGTTTTTTTTGCAATGAACTCGATGTTTGAAGGCCTTTACACTGGTACTGTACTCACACGAGGTTGATCAGCCCCAGCAGGCCCATCCCTCTGAAGTCAGTCTTGGGGTCCTCCCCTTGGAATCCAATGTCTCCCCACTGTTTGGTTATCCTGGACTCCAGCTTGACTGTTGGCATCAAAAGGTCCCAAAGCTAAACACACACACACACACGATCAAATCCGTCCACTACAATAACTTGGAAGTACAACGATTCCTAATATGACCTTGTGCCAGCATTTTAGACTCCCATCCAACAACTTACAGTGTTTCTATGCTGATGTGATGTTAGACTGTGGTATTATCTTTACTATGTCAATCGATGTTTAAAAAAAAAAAATCCTAAATGCTACTTTTAGTAATGTGCAGAAATAATAATAAAACATATTTTTCCTTAGTTTCCAAATCTTGGTTCAAGTCTCATCTTAGCAGAAAGCCTGTGCATATGGACACAGCTTCACTGCTATTGCTCTAGGAGCAGGAATCCATACCTTCAAAAGTATGGCCTCGTGTTCAGGGTTGTCTGAGCTGAAGACTTCCTTTCTCAAGTCTTCTACAGATATATACAAGCTGCTATATCCTGTTATCTGCAGCAGGCAGATGTTGAGGCTCTCTTTGAACCTGCAACGGAAGATCAATTCAATCACATTCAAAAATCACTCTTATATCAAAGAATTGCAGCTGACAGGCAAAGTAACCTTACTTGGGATCTTTTGCAGGTTTGATGTTCTTCACTTTCATAATTTGATCCACGCATTGCTCTAAGCTATCCTTAGTGGTTTCCAACGCTCCTCTTAAAACCTGCAGAGGAAGAGCGCATGCTAAAGTTATAACACAGAGAGCTACCAGACAGAAATCTGGCGCAAATGCTTTTAGGTCATTTACAACCACAGTGAAAATGACTGTTTTTTCAAAGTCAAAAAGATGACACAGCTAATCTCTTCTTGCACCTGGACAGACTATTGATCTGAAAATGCTTACAAAGCCATATACACAAGCATGACATGTGTAATCAGTTCACCTAAACTTGGCTAGGGTAGTGAAAGATAAAGCAATGATTAAACTCAGGGGATATACTGCGCAATAAAAGATAAAGAGGTCAATAGTGAAGGAAAGTGTGATTCCTTTCCACATCTGTGGGCTTGGAAAGCTTTCAGATTACTTGAAAATCCACAATGCTCCAGTCCTGAGGAGTTTATTACACATATCTACACATTCTTAGTCTCCAAATACTCAATATTTTTTCAAATGTTTGACACTTAACATCTTTTACTGGCCTGACAGTGCTAAAAGTGATGAGATAACAGATTTTATTTATGACAATGCTGAAACGTAAACTGGAAAAGAGTCCTAAAAAACACACACGCACGCCTATAAAAGCTATTTCTGCTTTAGCTTTTAAGAATGTGAGTCTTTTAAAAATAAAAAAGAGCAATTACTGTCTTGAAAAATGTATTTAAACTGTTGTTTGCCTTTTGGCTGACAGCACTTGGATTTTCTTTGTCCTGGTTTGTACATCGGCACCTAATATATTAACTTTTTTTCCATTATGGCCTATATCAAATAACTACTAACAACTAAATTTAAACTAAATGTTGTAAAAAAAATGCACATCTGATACAAAGATCATCAACGATATTTGATTTCAGCCACATAAAAACAAAATCAGACAAACACACCCCCAGCATTAAAGAGCTGCAACAGGAAATCAGAGGAGCTGAACAGATTATCAGGATCATTGCCAATTAATGTTTGTGCAGACCCACCGTTTATCTTTTAACAATATAAAACAATTAGCTCAGAACTACTGAAGCAGGGCTCGCAAAATCGCTAGCCCGACGTCCCGGGGCTAGCGATTTTTCCAGTCGGGCTACCAAAATCTATCTCAGCCCTGCCCGTCGGGCTATCATAGGAAGGAAAAAATATATGTCAATGCTTTTGCATTCTTTCGGAAATGTAGCTGGGTAATTATGTCATTGGCATCGGTGAGCCACTGTCAATATGTGACATATTGAAATCGCGTTTGAATTTGCGCTTGTTTTTTGCTTTCACTTTGCAAATGTCCAGGTGCCTTCTTTTGGCGCACCAAGTCACTCGGGTCAGAACATGGGGTGCCACCATCATCCCACTTCTGACACCAATGTGGCGAGCTCAGACAACGAGGAGACGGAGGTGTCGTTTGGTCTTGCTTCCCGTGAGCTAGCCAGGGAGCACAGCCGTTTATTGACATCTGCAGAAGAACACTGCCGCTAGCTAACTGCTCAGCGCGGCAACCGCACAGCAACAGCAACATCAACAACAACAACAACACACAGGGCGCCCTCTGACCCCGGAAGGACACACCGTCGCAGCGAGAGGGCGTCACCCGTCACTATGGCAACATAAACAAAACATAACTGTACAAACAGAACCCCGAACAGCCCTGACCCGCTACAATATGCTGCTGAGAATATAGCCCAGAAGAAGCGTATAGTATAGCTTTTATTTTGGAAAGAGCCATTTCTCTGTAATAAACTCTCTTTTCCAAAGATGAGTGTTTCCTCAATCAGATACAGGTGTTACCGCGCCAGATCCGCGGCCCCGAACCGTAGTAAGGAAACCTCTGGCAGTTACTTGAAGGTTCCGTAACTGACTCGTAGCCGGCAACAGCTTACTATACAGGTCAACTCCGCTAGCAAAAAGATAGAAGGAGGCATAGGAAACTGCTTCACCGAACTTTATTTCTTCTCTAAGGCACGAACACCGCGTACAGTGGCTGAAACAGTTTACTCACAGCGAGCATCGCCGACACAACTCTGGCTGTCGAGGGAGTTATTATATTCCTTTTATTTATTTTCTTTTCGTCTCTTCTGTAGCTAACCGTTACTTTTTCCCCTTCTCCGCTCTCTCTCTTCACACATACACCAGGCAGTCCCGCTACACACATCCCGAATACATTTCCCATCAGGCTTCATCCTTAAAGGGCCATACCTGTAACACAGGGCTCGCAAAATCGCTAGCCCGACGTCCCGGGGCTAGCGATTTTTCCAGTCGGGCTACCAAAATCTATCTCAGCCCTGCCCGTCGGGCTATCATAGGAAGGAAAAAATATATGTCAATGCTTTTGCATTCTTTCGGAAATGTAGCTGGGTAATTATGTCATTGGCATCGGTGAGCCACTGTCAATATGTGACATATTGAAATCACGTTTGAATTTGCGCTTGTTTTTTGCTTTCACTTTGCAAATGTCCAGGTGCCTTCTTTTGGCGCACCAAGTCACTCGGGTCAGAACATGGGGTGCCACCATCATCCCACTTCTGACACCAATGTGGCGAGCTCAGACAACGAGGAGACGGAGGTGTCGTTTGGTCTTGCTTCCCGTGAGCTAGCCAGGGAGCACAGCCGTTTATTGACATCTGCAGAAGAACACTGCCGCTAGCTAACTGCTCAGCGCGGCAACCGCACAGCAACAGCAACAACAACAACAACAACACACAGGGCGCCCTCTGACCCCGGAAGGACACACCGTCGCAGCGAGAGGGCGTCACCCGTCACTATGGCAACATAAACAAAACATAACTGTACAAACAGAACCCCGAACAGCCCTGACCCGCTACAATATGCTGCTGAGAATATAGCCCAGAAGAAGCGTATAGTATAGCTTTTATTTTGGAAAGAGCCATTTCTCTGTAATAAACTCTTTTCCAAAGATGAGTGTTTCCTCAATCAGATACAGGTGTTACCGCGCCAGATCCGCGGCCCCGAACCGTAGTAAGGAAACCTCTGGCAGTTACTTGAAGGTTCCGTAACTGACTCGTAGCCGGCAACAGCTTACTATACAGGTCAACTCCGCTAGCAAAAAGATAGAAGGAGGCATAGGAAACTGCTTCACCGAACTTTATTTCTTCTCTAAGGCACGAACACCGCGTACAGTGGCTGAAACAGTTTACTCACAGCGAGCATCGCCTACACAACTCTGGCTGTCGAGGGAGTTATTATATTCCTTTTATTTATTTTCTTTTCGTCTCTTCTGTAGCTAACCGTTACTTTTTCCCCTTCTCCGCTCTCTCTCTTCACACATACACCAGGCAGTCCCGCTACACACATCCCGAATACATTTCCCATCAGGCTTCATCCTTAAAGGGCCATACCTGTAACACAGGGCTCGCAAAATCGCTAGCCCGACGTCCCGGGGCTAGCGATTTTTCCAGTCGGGCTACCAAAATCTATCTCAGCCCTGCCCGTCGGGCTATCATAGGAAGGAAAAAATATATGTCAATGCTTTTGCATTCTTTCGGAAATGTAGCTGGGTAATTATGTCATTGGCATCGGTGAGCCACTGTCAATATGTGACATATTGAAATCGCGTTTGAATTTGCGCTTGTTTTTTGCTTTCACTTTGCAAATGTCCAGGTGCCTTCTTTTGGCGCACCAAGTCACTCGGGTCAGAACATGGGGTGCCACCATCATCCCACTTCTGACACCAATGTGGCGAGCTCAGACAACGAGGAGACGGAGGTGTCGTTTGGTCTTGCTTCCCGTGAGCTAGCCAGGGAGCACAGCCGTTTATTGACATCTGCAGAAGAACACTGCCGCTAGCTAACTGCTCAGCGCGGCAACCGCACAGCAACAGCAACAACAACAACAACAACACACAGGGCGCCCTCTGACCCCGGAAGGACACACCGTCGCAGCGAGAGGGCGTCACCCGTCACTATGGCAACATAAACAAAACATAACTGTACAAACAGAACCCCGAACAGCCCTGGCCCGCTACAATATGCTGCTGAGAATATAGCCCAGAAGAAGCGTATAGTATAGCTTTTATTTTGGAAAGAGCCATTTCTCTGTAATAAACTCTCTTTTCCAAAGATGAGTGATTCCTCAATCAGATACGCAAACGCGCGTTGCAACTTCTTATCTGGTGCGAGTCTTTTATTTTGACAGCGAATGCGCACATGCGGACCACTTATGTGCACCCGTGTAAATAACATAATGTTCTGCCGGGTGTGTTGTTGGTTTTCTCTCGATTTCTGAGTCGACAAGCGCCTTTGTTACTGGGACCAGTCATTTTAAGAAAGGCCCCATTAGAACCCATGAGAAATGCAAGAAATGCATTATTGCTCAGTCTGCAATATCTTTCCCAGAACAAACACCAATTGCAAATAACATACTAAAAATAAACCTGAAAAATCTGTTTAGAACAGCGTACTATGTTGCAAAGAGTGAACTACCACTGGCAAAATTTAGCAGTCTTTGCAAACTTCAAAAAGCAAATGGCCTAGATCTTGGTTCCACTGTCTCTTACCCGTGACTTCAGCGGAAATTTCAAATTCAGGATCTGACACAGACTGATTCATGTCCTACACAGTTCTTACAAGTTCATAGAAATTTCTGTTCAATTAGAACCAAGTATTTGAGTTGATGATTGTAATTTTATACAATGTTGTAATTTGTTTTTCAACAATTTTTTGATTAATGTTTTGTTTCCTTTACAATATTATACTTTAATGTATAATATTGTAAAGGAAGCAAAACAGGAAACAAAACATCAATCAAAAAAATTGCTCTCTTTTTTATTCGGGCTACTTACATTTATTTTTGGCTACCAAAAACTGAAGAGTCCCTGCCCGAAGGGCTACCAGGGATTTTGAAATTTTGAGAGCCCTGTGAAGGTAAGCCCGAAAGAAAAGCCAACAGTGGTAGAAGGTCCTTACCTTGTTCTTTGATGACTGAAGAGAGTACTCTGCAGGAGGACACAAGAAGCACATTAACACTGCAGAGAAAATGTGTACTAGGATGCAGACGTAGAGCAGATTTGGGGTGATTTAACGCACCTGCTTTTGTAGTCCTTGCTGCCCCTGGCTTGTGTCCAGAGCATATTCTCTGCAGCTCACATGTCCCCGTTACTTGTCTGATGAGCCATTTCAACCAGTATCTCAGGAAGGATGTGTAGACATACTCCCAGATATATCCAAACATGTTCTAGGACATAAACAGGTTAAGGTTCACAGATTACTACGGTGCGAGAAATATCCTGAAGACCCGAGGACCACAAAACTATTCTGGAGTGTAAGTTAACAGAGGTGGAGGAAGTACAGCTTTCATTATATTAAAACCACCACCTTGTACAAGAACAAACCCTGTGATGAAGTTTTACTTAGATAATCACATTTCAGAATTCAAATAGCTTTTATTAGTAAGAGTGAAAGGGAAGGTTCACAATATGCAGTGAGTCCTGCGATGATGTACGGTTTAGTGGCGATAATTAAAAGATAGAAGGCAGAGCTGAAGATGTTAAGGTTTTCATTGGGAGTGACCAGAATGGACCAGATTAGCAATGAGCACATCAGTACATCTGAGTTTTAGCGGTTTGGAGACAGAGATAGACAGGCAAGCCTGAGATGGTTTGGACATATGCAGAGGAGGGAAAAATTATGTTAAAGATGGAGCTGCCCGGGAACAAGAAAACAGGAATGCCACAGAGTAGATTCATGAAGTAGCGAAGGAGAACATGCAGAGGGTTGGGTGTGACAAAGGCATCTACTAAAAGGAAAAGCCGAAAGATGCAGGCAACATGTCTGTATTCGTGTTTACCTAAAGTATAAATGAAAAAATAAACTAAGAAGCTAAATTATTAGTGCATTGGTGTGGTTACAGCTCATTAAGCAGAAGCTAATCTAATGCAGTTTTTTTGTTTTGTTTTCAATGAAAGAGGGCACTTTTTACAACACGATCCAGTCTTATTCTGAAGCACTAAACGGCATCAAACTGAGAACAGCTTCTTATTTTTGTCCTCCCTTCCGCATACATGAGCAGATTATTACTTCGATTCTGATTTATTTACATAGCGATAACGTTTGGCTCAAGGTACTGTAAGATAAGGCCCTACAGTATTGGAGCAATCAAGCAACTATGAGCAAACACTTTTGTGACAGTCTGAGGGAGACAGGACAAAAGGTACACTATGGGAGAGAGAACACACAAATTTAAGGACAAGCACTATATAAAAATTTGGGGAGTGAAAAGAGGTGAGTGAAGAAGTGCTGAGTTTATCACATGAGGTCCTACAGCAGTCTGGGCCTGTTGCAGCATCACTAAGGAATACGTCAGTGATAGCTGATCCAGCCCTAAATATAACCTTTATGAAAAAGAACATTTTTAAGTCTAATCTTTATTATTATTAATATGTTTGTTGTTGTTGTTGTTGTTTTTATGGACATGGAGTATATTGTGTTCAATTGATATATGTTAGTGCTAAAATACACAATTTAACCAACACTTTTATGACACAGTGAATAAATGCCCGTGAATATTACAGGCAAATAAGTTATTCCAACACCTCTAACTTATATTGAACTTTGGATTTGATGGATTTTGCTTCCTGAGTTGGACTCATGTTGCAGATGCACTTCACTGCCGTCTGTCACAGTGACAGTGACCACGTTTTTGAAGCCACTGAGGAAGTACTCTGCTACAAGCAGAGTAATCTATTGCTCAGTGCAAGACATGATTAGTTAATCGTGGGTCATCGCTAAATGCGAATTAACATCCAACAATAAAAGCGCCGAGTGGGTATGAGAGAAGAGCCCACGCTCCTACAGCCAAAACAATGGCTAGCACTGATGCTAATGCTAAGTTCGGACATACGTGGTCATTCAGTTTATTTACAGGCACTCTGGGAGTTTAATGGGGCTTTTGAAAGCGGTGCATGTTGATGCTAGCGAAGTGGTAGTGAGCCACTTTTGATATTAATTACGTAAAGGAGCATACCGGCTTCTAAATTCCCCCAAATGACCCGGTTCAGACAACAGGTTGTCATTGTCATTCGTCTGACTGGTAGCTAGCAACACCACGCTAACCTACTTTAAGTTTCGTACGAGTAGCTGATGCGTTGGGCAATATTTACCGTGAGAGAGTGGTGATGCTCGTCTTACTCTCCAGTCGTAGGGAAAGCGATGCCAGACCCAGGATACAGTCTAACTTAGCCGCAGGCGGGTGATAATGTTAGCGGCGGTTCGCCTGACAACAGGCTGGCTGTGATGCGTTCACTGTCTATACAACTATACCGTCTATGCCACGCACACAGCTACACAAGTCTCCCAGGTGACACAAGACAGGCTCTTCTTTCTAACCAAGACTTAAACATTGTTTATAAATGTTCAACTAAGACGTTAAAACAATTAACAGTCCATGACACACCTCGAAACTTGGGTTGAATTTATCACTAAGGATTAATATCGTGATGTCTTTGAACACAGCATGATAGTTTCTAGTGCTGCTACAGCGCCATCTACTGCCCGCAGTGGTCATGACTGCGCAGACAACTTCACAACTACACAGTCTAAAATTTGAACCAGACACGAAATTTCAGTTAAGTGCAATAAAAACTTACTGGACTTAATAATAAAATGAGATCAAATATATAGAAAAGATCTTTAGTTTGAAATTTTCTCAATTTGATGAAATTTCATTCTAATAAAAATATGAAAGTAAAGATAATCTAAAAAAAAAAAACCCTTCACTTGAAACTAAAGGAAACTAAACTGAAAACGTAACTTTGAAATAAAAACAAATAAATAAAAAAACTAACTGAAATAACTCAGACAAGAAAATCCCAACTGCAGGTAGTAGCTGGAAGCTAATCAGATAATCAGATATTGCATTTTCCAATATTAGCCACAAGATGATGCCAAATTCACAAAATGTGTGCTACACTGTCTATCATAGGGCTGTTTATAGAAAACAGTCATATTATGCTGCTGATAATGGTCAACAAGCCTCCATTATTCCATTGTCCGTTCAATTTTTTTAAATGGTGAAAACACACGGCACATAAAGACCCACCACTGTGTCACTTTATCGAAAGGGGCTGCACAAAAGCCCTCACCCTTACCCATTAATCTGCTTTATCGACAATGTATGCAGCCTATTCTGAGATGCTTACCAACGGTGCTCTCAGCTGTAATTAAGTCACAGTCTGCTTTCTCACCTAATCAGTCCCTCGGGGCTTTTAAAGGCAGGACGTCTATCACATACAATTACTGCAGTCCAAGCCCTGCCTCAGACCCAGGCTGTATTTAAATAAGGAATCCCCCCCACTAACACAGACTGTATTGACAGTGTGATAGATCAGGGTGAATAAGAGAGTAGTCTATAATGCTACAATTTCGTTTTAACAACCCGGACAGACTTTGCACAAAATCTTTCAAAAGCCCTTCAGATGAAGTGCTTTAGAAAGTGGTAGGCTACTAAATGTTAGCGCTCTCTGTCAGTGCTGTTATCCACGAGAATGAGATGCAGAAGGGGTGTCACAAAACTAAAGCAAAGATCCAATGATGTCAGCAAGTACAACAACTCCTAAAAGACAAATCAAGTCAATAATATCACCTAAAGGGAGCCATACGAACGCGTTTGTATGGATCGCTGTCTCCGTGAGAAGGATGGCACTGTGTAACTGCTTCCACAACTTTATACTGTCTTCGACATCAAAATTAAAACCAGGCTGGTTTCTGTATTTCTTGGTTTACTCATTCTGATCTACATTTTAATCTGCCGGTGATTACAAGAATTCGCTGTGAAAGTCATTTAAAACATGGGAAAATACTTGTTATAGTTTCCACAGCCCAAGGAGAGTAATCGAGACATCCTTGTTTAAATCTGTACACCTCCAGTGCAGTAGTTTCCACATTTTAAAATTCATGATCCTTTAAATTCCTCTTTGAGATTCATAACATTCCAGGGAGCTGTGAGCTTGCATAAAGTTATTAATGTTTCTGTCCTGATCAGCATTGCTGCTCTTTCGTATGTCTTATCATACATTTCACCAACCATCCATCCATTTATCCAGATGCCCCTACCTGAGTCTGGCTCTGCCTAAAAGTGAATTCTACACTCAACAAAAATATAAACGCAACACCTTTGTTACTGCTCCCATTCCCCATGGGATGGACGTAGAGACCTAAAATTCATTCCAGATACACAATATAACCATCCCTCCCAAACAGTGGTCACAAATCAGTCCAAATGTGTGGTAGTGGGCACATCTGCTATATTGAGATAATCCATCCCACCTCACAGGTGTGCCACATCAGGATGCTGATCTGACATCATGAGTAGTGCACAGGTGTACCTCAGACTGCCCACAACAAAAGGCCACCCTGGAATGTGCAGTTTTGTCTCACAGCAAAATGCCACAAGCAATGAGGGAGCATGCAATTGCCATGCTGACAGCAGGAATGTCAACCAGATCTGTCGCCCGTGCATTGAATGTTCATTTCTCAACCATAAGCCGTCTCCACAGGCGTTTCAGAGAATATGGCAGCACATCCAACCGGCCTTACAACCGCAGACCTCGTGTAACCACACCAGCCCAGGACCTCCACATCCAGCAGGTTCACCTCCAAGATCGTCTGAGACCAGCCACCCAGACAGCTGCTGGAACAATTGGTTTGCACAACCAAACAATTTCTGCACAAACTGTCAGAAACCGTCTCAGGGACGCTCAACTGCATGCCCGTCGTCCTCATCGGGGTCTTGACCTGACTCCAGCTCGTCGCCGTAACAGACTTGTGTGGGCAAATGCTCACATTCGATGGCGTCTGGCACGTTGGAGAGGTGTGCGCTTCACGGATGAATCATGGTTCACATTGTTCAGGGCAGATGGCAGCTGAGAATGTCCCAGTTCTTGCATGGCCAGCATACTCACCGGACATGTCACCCATTGAGCATGTTCGGGATGTGCTTGACCGGCGTATACGACAGCGTGTACCAGTTCCCACGAATATCCAACAACCTCGCACAGCCATTGAAGTGGAGTGGACCAACATTCCACAGGCCACAATTGACAATCTGATAGACTCCATGCGACGATGTGTTGCACTGCATGAGGCAAATGGTGGTCACACCAGATACTGACCGGTTCTGGGTCCCCAGACCCCCAATAGCGCAAAAAACTGCACATTCCAGGGTGGCCTTTTGTTGTGGGCAGTCTGAGGTACACCTGTGCACTACTCATGATGTCAGATCAGCATCCTGATGTGGCACACCTGTGAGGTGGGATGGATTATCTCAATATAGCAGATGTGCCCACTACCACACATTTGGACTGATTTGTGACCACTGTTTGGGAGGGATGGTTATATTGTGTATCTGGAATGAATTTTAGGTCTCTACGTCCATCCCATGGGGAATGGGAGCAGTAACAAAGGTGTTGCGTTTATATTTTTGTTGAGTGTATTTCCCCACTTTCGCCAAAATGCTTGCTCGCAGATTCTCTCTAATATTCCAAAATCACCTTAAACGACAGTATAAAGCACATTGAGACACCTGTTACTGGATCGTCGTCTTCTTTATCATTACATTCATGTTAATGTTCAGGGGCAGGGACCCGTGTGTGTGGGATTTGTAACTACTGTGGAAAAAATGCACACTCTTGTGTAAAGTCAGAGTTAGCTTTATTGTCAATTCTGCAGTATGTACAACACACACACAGGATCGAAATTTTGTAACCCTTGACCCACTGTGTGTTACTAGAACGAATCAAAGAATAGTTAAGAATATGAGATGCAGACGAAAGTAAATACGTGATATCAAAGTATAGATATGAATTATATAAGATATATTAAAGCCTAAATATAATTACTGATGTCTATGTATAAAAATATAAAGCAGTGTAAAGCAGGCTCATTCATAATGAACAGTTATTTGGACAGAATCACTTGTGTATTTTTTAACTACATGAGCCACATTTCTCTCCGTGTTATCAGCAAAGTGCAAAGTCTTAAGCTGTCTCCGACTCATTTGCATAAGCACGTTGCAAACCACAGAAAATCTTTAATGCGATTTTTTCTGTAGTAATAGTTAATGACACCAATTGTAACCGACAGGCTCTTATTGTAGAGGCTCTTTATTCACCACATCTGCCGAAAGCACAGAGAAATATTTCTTCATTTTGAAAATAATGTAGATGTAAAATAAATGAACGCGATCTCGCTAAAGCATGCTCCAAAAAAGAACCGCATGAAAGTCGACCCATTTCTCAATAACACAAATGGGAGCAGAAAAACCAAAAACCTCTCCTCTTGGAATATTATGGTCTACGTTATGAGGCAGAAAGCGCAGGGAACTAAAACTAATTAATTTCAGGACCAAGTGACCCTCCTGTGAAAGCCTGCGGCTGTTACAATGCTGCTTCCATTCGCATCTTCTCCACCCCTCCCCATTCATCCATTCATCTGGTTAACTCTGGATTGCCCTGCCAAGACCAGTTCAGTCTGGGATAGCGCACAAACCATGATCGGCTCGTCACATTTTTTTTTCTTTTTGTTTTTGTAAGCACGAGCCAGCAGTGATGAAGACCTCGGAGTCAGCGGTGACTGATTGCGCACGGTCAGTCAGTCAAGGTGCTTAAATTTTGTGCCTGACTGTGGTGGATCGATACCTCTAAGACCCATATTCTACGTGGAAGGCGTGGCTTGGTGTCATCTACACAGGCTGACTTTTCCATATTCATCCCTAGGTTTTTTTTTTTTCTTTCTTTCTTTTCCCCCTCGTCTCACTGACGCGCAATCGGTACCCAACGGCACGGGGCATAAATCGTCTCGCAAGGTAAGCCGCCTTCATCTTTTCAAGCTCTCTTATACTGTGAGATGTTAAATTCGCCCGCAAGGTCAAATCAAACCAGCAAGCATCGGTGGCTTCTGAGGCGCTGAATTGGGGCAAGAGGCTACAGTGCATGACATGGATCTTAATTGGCCTGAATAGATCGTGTGCACCGCTTGCATGCGGGATCTTTCATGTGCGCCGTTTTGCATGAATACAGTCTGTACGTAGTCTGTCCACACTTTAGGTTATTTCTTAACTGCTGCTGGCAAAAGAAGAAGAAGAAGTAGAAGAAAAGGGAACACAAAAAAGCCCAGACACCGAGGCGTTTATTTGTCATATATTTAATAACACCCAGGATATGCTTTCCATAAATATTTGCGCTTTGACAACAGACAGGCAGATGCATAGTGGCATAGCACAAACAACCCGGCTACACCTGTCCATGACCCACACCAGTAACCTACTATTCTGTGCTGTTCGAGTCACACGTGTGGGGGGGTGCTCTATAGTGCGTCAGATTATCATGGTTAAAAGAGTGTGACGGGAATATTTATTCTTTAGTCTCGCCTTATCAGATACAAGTATAACCTGGAAAGCTGTTCGGTTTCCCACTGCTACTCCTAAAGAAGAGGATGCTGGTGTGATGAAGGAGAATGCCTCTAGATCAGATTGATGTTGTTACCTTTACTGAGATGAACTGCACTGATCATCAGTGGATGTCACCGAAATGGAAAAGGCCCATTAATGCCACCCATCGAATTATCATTCAGTGTGTTCTTCATTTGCTTTAGAGATAGTTTTCCATGATTACATCCTTGACCACAGCACAGCTCATCTGTCCAACTCCAAAGGGTCACATATTTCAGCTGTCTGCCGAGTGCTGGGTCATTACTTGCAGAATTGGCTGGATACTTTTACACATTCAGGACACAGACTGAGATGAAGCCATTCATCAGGCCTTGGACAAAGAAACTGTTGATCACTGTGTAGAATTTAAAACAGATAAAGGACAAACGAGGGTGATGCTGGTTATAAATTCACTTGTGGTTGTCAAAAAAAAATGAAACTTTAAATGAGTGATTATGAGTGATTTTCAGTCCCTCAGGTATGTATTTTAAATCTACCCAATTATATTCGACATAAAGATTAAAGGATAATTGAAATATGATATTGTTACTAAGTGGCTAGCTTGCCATTGGCAATATCTCACAGCATCACAACATTTAATTAAACCGAGTCAACGGGCTAGCATGGGGAGACTCAGTTCATTTCATTCATTATTCACATCTCTTTGTATGCTGTAATATTCAATTGCGATAACTTCAGCTGATTTATGAATGACACGCTGTTGGGCGTAGTTTTATTTACGGTAGGATTTGTAAAATGAGAAAAACAGCGGTTAGATCAAACGCCACCAGATGTGTGGCATCCACAGTTTTAATCAAAGATCTGTTTTATCTGTAAGCACTTTGAGTCTAAATGTCGCATTGTGTCTTACTACTACTTTGTTTACGCAGCATTTTCTTATCATACTTTTACATTTTCTACATTCAGTGCAATCAGTCAAGAGGTTTAATATGCAAAATGTGATGGATGCTTATAAAATCTCTGGAGTTTCATTTATTTCCATGTTCTGGAAAAATAAATCATGCATCAGTTGCAGCACAAAGATGATGTTGAGTTTAAAGGAGAATGTGGAGATCAATGAACCAAAAACTACCTCCATAAATATTATTATGTTATATGTTAAAAGTTATAAGTTCATTCGATTATTAAAGTTGGAATCACATATTATATTCTTAGTCAGGTGCAGGTCTCTCGCTGTTCTCTGTCCTGGCTGGTTGATAACTGTTGAGTAAAATTGTCTTGCAGAAATCACCTTGGTCTGGAGTCTGGTCTGATTATAATCATCTGAATAAAGGTGTAATTGTTGTGATAAGCTTAATGATTAAAAACTTCAACTGAGTCTACTTCTGTTTTCCTCCTTTAGGAAATTGCAAAAAGTTAATGATAGCACAGCGTGCATCCGTTTCCATCTTTGGATATACGGCAATATTTGAAGACTGAAGCAGTGAGTCCGCCATGGGAACTAACCCAAAAAGGACAGTAACAGTCCAGATGGTGCCTCAGCTGGCTGGGGTGGACACACTGGGCAACAAGGAGTCTAATGCCAACTGGGCTAAAGAGCCCAACCTCAAAGTCTCTCAGGTTTGTCCAAAACCCACCCTCAGATCTCCCGACAAGCAGGATAACCTGTCTCTGACGACTGCTAACGCCGCCCCCCGCACAGAAAAAACAGGTTGTAAGGGAGGGGAACCAGTTACCACTGTGTCAGACAAATCAGCTCCAGGCAATGGAAACCAGATAAAATCTGAGCAAGTGTCAGGTGGAGACCACCAAACACCAAACCTGTCTGTAACAGGCCGAGAGGTGGGTGAGGCAGGAGCTGACCAGCGGGATTCTAATGCTAACATGAAAACTCTGAGCCCAACCAGTGAAACGGGCACGTATAAGGCCAGTTCGCTGTCTCCTGTTGCAGCATCGGGCGCCGACACGAACAGCAGTGAGTACAAAGTAAAAAACCCAGTTGCACCAGAAGAGAAGCAGGTACGGCTGACACCCTCAGTAGAAACTACAGCACGAGAGAAAAGTAATGAACGCCTTTCTCCGAATGACAAAAAACGTAACGACAGTGATGTAAGGAGTACAGCATCTGAAGTACAAGATAATAAAGAAACCATTTCCAATCCCCAAAGCAGGGACATGGCTATCCCACAGAAATCTAAAGAGACTGGTCATATGCAAGGTTGCTCATCAACGTCTGTTTCTTTACAAGATCCATCAAAACCCAAGAAAAGCATGGAAACTCCGCTAAGCTCAGCCAAAGCCCCATCTGAGAGTAAAGATGCAGGAGCTGAACCAACAAACGAAAACTCACGGTCAACGCGCCCAGAGAAGGAATTTGCAACAGTATCAAGACCGCAGGTCTCCTCAGATAAACACCAGCCAGTGTCCTCACAGAAAGACTCATCCTCTCTGCCCCAGGCGACAAAAAGCACGCAGGCATCCGAGCAGGTGGCTGAAGGAAGCAGCCAGACTGACACAGCTGTCTTTGAAGGGCAGCGGGACTCCAAGCTCTACACGGAGGCTTCGACAATGACCTCATCGCTATCGCCAGCCCCGGTCAAAAAGTGTCATGATATGGAGGTTCAGGCAGTAGCTAAAATGTGCAGTAAGGCTGTGGCCACGAGTCCTAGTCTGCTGCCTTTCCCTGTGACCCACAGGCCAAACAGTGGTGCAGTCCCAGGAGAGGAGAGCCTGGCTGTAGTCTACCAGGTGAAAAGCGGCACCGCGACTGATCCGAAGTCAGAGAGACTCACTGTAGAGGCACAAATGTGCCCCAACCAAAACACCGGCATGGTTTTCCAATCAGAAACTTTGTCACAACAGCATGACTCCAGGCTAGGAGCCAAGCCTAAAGAAGCGGGCGCAGCTCTGTGCAACATCCAGCCGGTTTATCAAATCAACATTGAACACAGCGAACCCAAGAAGCAAGCCGCAAAAACAGCCACGGCTGAAACTCCTTCTCTCAGATCAGGGATGCCCCCAGAGACAGCCGTTGTTCCTGTGCCTGGATGTGCTGACAGCAACACTGCTGCGCAGGCCCTGCCAAAAACAACGACAACAACGACAACAGCACCAACGACAACAGCACCGACAACAACAGCACCAGCAGCACCAGCAGCAAACACCACATCCAAGTCAGAGCTCACTAAAAATAGAGATGTGAGTGCAAAAGAAAAAAGCAAAGAAGCAGGAAGTAAAGCCCAGAGTAAGGAGACAAATTCTGGCAAAAAGAAGGTGGAACCGGAGAGAAGCGACAAAGAGGACGATCAGTCACGGAAGCAGAAAGGAAAGAGCATCCACGACGTCGTCTGGGACGAACAGGGCATGACGTGGGAGGTCTACGGGGCTTCCGTGGACCCCGAATCACTCGGCTTTGCAATTCAGAGCCACTTACAGAGCAAAATAAAGGAGCAAGAGAGGAAACTGATGGTCCAGACCTCGCTGCGAAAGTCAATCTCTGGTGCTGATTCGCCGCGACATGGCAGCAAGAACAAAAGGAGGCAGCAGAACATTTTCAGGTCAATGCTGCAAAATGTCAGACGGCCCAACTGCTGCGTGCGCCCCCCTCCCTCCTCCGTCCTCGAGTAGCACAGGACAGAGGTAGCCATTGTCAGACTCCTCCCATTTCCTAGAGGTCAAAACGTTTTCCCTCCCCTCATCAAGATTTTCAATGCCAAGTGAAACATTGACGCCGATCCCTGTAAGTAAGTATACTGGAATGTCGTAGCATAAAAGAGTCAATACTTGTGATGATGTTTGTGATCCAACAAGGTAGGAAATAGAAATATCAAATGAAACAAACAAGAATTAAATTAAAAAAAAAACTTATTTTTTAGAAATCAATATGAGAGAGAACACAGTTTTTTAATAAAAATAAAGAAAACAAAACAAAGGAAATAACAGTGAAACGCATGTATTTCAGTTACAGTGACAGTTGTATGACCTAATATGAAGTCCAAACCTTCACAGCAAGAGGCACTGATCATGGGATAGACATACTAACTCACTGTCAGGATATCTGTGCAAATATATTCAACCGACGTCTCATCGCATCTGGTGCATTTGATATATGTTCATGAGGTGTTTTCGTTTGTTTCCAGGGCCCTATATTTATCAGGTTGCTGTGTTTTCTTTTCTTTTTAGTGAGTACTTAAAGGGGGCACTGTATGCATACATGTACGCTGTTCGATCTCTGTTCTTCTTTGGTTTTCTATTAAAGTAAGCAAAAAAATGCGTTGACTTTTACAACGTCATTTCTCACTTTTCGTGGGTGTAGTGTTTCTGTCCTGGTGATTCTTTTGTTTTGTTTCTAAAGGAGATTCCACGTGTAAATCGAATGCAAAAACATTTATTTCGTCAGGACTCACACACAAGAATAAACGGTTTTGAAAATAAATATTTAAAAGACTAAATGATAAATCAGAGTAAAGATGCAGTCCTTAAAGAGAGCATGAAGTACGTTCAGAGTGAAAGATTTGCTCCAAACTATAGGCACAGGTTTTAGTTGAGCACTTGCAGAGGAGGAATATTAAAGGGCTTGTATCCACCCCTCAGTACATTTTAGGGGGAACGTCTCCCCATGTCTATGTCCTGAAATCTACAGCTATGCTTCCCAGGAGGAAACTAAGCCACTATATTTCCTCCTGGGAGTCTTGGGTAGAGTTGGGGTCCTTATGTATGGAGACTGCAGGTTTTCTCTGTGCATGCCAGCTGTAATCTTCAGAAACATGCATGTCTTCTGTCACTGTGCTTTTACCAAGTTTACATGTGGAGTTGGTCCTCGGTGGCTGAATGTATTGAGTATTAGTTTCCCTTTAGCTTCCCTGTATTGATCAATAAGCTTATCTCTTTCACTGACAAGGTATTTAATGCTTGAATATTCAAAAATAAAATGTTGTGGGTTCAGACAGGCAAATTTTAAAACCAGTACTTGCTGTAGCATAAATTCTACACTTTTTGTGTGAAAGAAGGTTTTAAAGAAACAACAACTACAGCATGACTCAGAGTAAAATAAATAAATGAGCATAGAGTGATATATACTATTTTAATCTGAGGACGACTTCGGATGCTGCATAAAAACCTGCTAAAGTCAGAGACACAAAGCCAGCCGGCGTAAGAAGACGCAGCAGTGACTAACTGTTTCCTTTTTTTTCAAAGAGGGACCTGATGTTGAAGTTTTAAAATAAAGAGGTTGAAATCAGAAGGTGTTAAAAGTGTACTCGCGGGAAATGACAAATTTCCTTTGCCTAGCTATCTCAATTTTTTTTAATCTTTGAATGGATATAAACATGCAGTAATACATCCGCAGCAGTGAAGTGTCCACCTTTGATGCTGCGGAAAATATACGCTCGCCACTTCAGGGCCTCGGCTTGTTGCGGCCTGAAGTCTGAGTCAAAGCACAGATTTAAAAGAGATTGTTTTGAGAAGAACTCTTAATGTGAAAACTGATTTTTATCTGCATTTACCTGAAAAAGAAACCGCTTTATTACGAGCAGCTGAAACGTCAGGTCAGTGGCAGGATAATTTTACCATTTTTGAAGAAACAGAGAGAAAACAGACCTGCGGGACACAAACAGATCTGACTGTTATCGGCTGATTTTTAAAACGTATAGCGACTCAAAGGGAGTCATTTCTGGAAAGTAAAATATTTGAATAGTTTAAATTGCCCAAGGGCAGGCTTTGGGGTCAAGGGAAGTCACTTTGTTGCTTTTAACTCCTAAAATCTGATCATTTTAGGGCTGCAGGGCCTTGAACCAGTTTGTACTTTCATCTAAAGGTTTTGCAGCTGTTTTGACTCAGTTAAAAAAAACAAAAAACTCACGCTTTGGTAGCAGATTAATCATTTAGGTCCCAGAAAACATGGCAAACATTGGCTATTTTCAGCTTCTGAAATGTAAAAATTCAGTTCAGGGTCACATGGGGGTTGAACGCCAACAAGCTGTCACGGGGCAAGACGTGTTTTCCTAAAACTTGGGCTAATGTTTGGACAAAACGATTCATCTGCTTCAGGTTCCAAGAATTTTTATTTTTTCTTTATTTGCTAATATTGCACATTGGATGATGGAGTGCCGAATGCGCATAATTGCAGAGATCTCTGTGTATGATTTGCCTGCACACCTAACTGAACCAGCTCTGTCCTTTGTGTGTTCTCCAGCCTTTTCTTTCCAAGGCCCTTTCTAAAACACTTCAGAGTGAATTTACTGTCTTGAGTGGCGTAACACTGATTTCAGGCGACTGCTCTTACTTTCTTAACAAGCACGTCTCTACATATTAACGTCAGGGTGTGATAACAAGAACGAAAAAGTCCTCTATGCCCGTTGTGCTGTGAAATGTCACAACCTGTAAAGAACAGCGCAGTGTATATCTGTCCCACCCAATACCTGACTGGATTTTGTGAAACCAAAGCTCTTTCCACAAAAAACAAAAACAGGAAATCTGTTTTCGTCTTCTGCTACAGCGCTGACTGAAAGGTGTCAAACCAAACTGTAACATCGTTTCAGATTCCAAGTTCAGTCTCAGGCAGTTGATGCTTTCTCTCTCCTTTCCATCAAGTTCAGTTTCACACTCTTACATTTCTGTAGGCCTGGTCACCAGCCTTAATTCGTATTCTTTCACCCCGGCTTTAATTAGCCACGTTTCAATTTTTAATAACCCCCTACTCACTGTGTCATTATGACCGGTTCCTATTTGGAAGTGCAGATTAGATTTGGCCACAGGCGGTGGGTAACACTGGGAAAGATTTACAATGACAAGGAGCACGGGGAGAGATTTCAAAGTGATACCACCCGCTGCTGCAACTAAAAGAGGACAGAGTTTAGCATGCCTTCAGTGTTCACCTGTTTGGCTGCACTTGTTGTGACCTCCGTGGGTGTTTTAATGAAATGTGGCCTTTTTCCTGGTTTTAAACATGTTAATAATTCTCTTTTAAATACCAAATAATAAACATGATGAACACTGAAGCTCTGTTTACTACAGAAAGTAGGACTCTCAACAGTTCTGACTAAACACAACCAAAATCCTCAGAAAATATTTTTTTTCATCAACAACTGATGACTCATCACAAAAGATTAAGCTACATCAAAGGATGCTTAAGCTCATAATATCTGTTAGTTACATTCATTGGTGTTCTAGATCTTTTCTAGAGAAATATATACTCTCACCAGCAGTGTTGGTCAAGTTACTTGAAAAAAGTAATCAGTAACTAATTACGATTACTCCCCCCAAAAAGTAATCCCGTTACTTTACTGATTACTTATTTTCAAAAGTAATTAATTACTTAGTTACTTAGTTACTTTTTAAAAACACGATTTACAACCTGAAGAGGTGATAAAGCGATAGATCTTTCAGCCCAATTCTACTTTTTCTGCATAATCCATCATACAAAATGTAATCAAATGGAAAAGTCTCTTTTTAAAACTTGTTTTATTAGTTTTAACCTTTTAACTTTATGCATCAAGCAAAATTTTAATTATATGCAACATTCTCTGACTGGAAGAAATTTGTTTAACATTTAAACTTATTTTCTGCACATTCCAGCACATAAAATAAAATATTTTTTGTGTGTTTAAACTCACTCTTTCAAATAGATGCAAGTAGAACACATCAAAGACTCAGCGGTCCTGTTGCTCTATTTTCACCTGTAAAGCAGGAGCGGGGTAGGCGGAGGTTTACCCTGGTGCAGGTGTGCCGCAGCGGTCAGTGGAAGAATCCGCGAGTTTCTCTGTGAGTTTCCCATTACCTCGTAGCGCTCTCGGTGCTTGCTTGGAAGTTTAGGGGTTTTTTTCGCTGTAAAAAGAAGTTTTCTTCCCACGCACAACGGACACTAATGTTTTTGTCACTTTTTATGGAATCAAACTCAAAGTAAGGTCAGTACTTCCACGTTTTAAACGCTGCACGCTCATACTCTCTCCCGCACTCGATATATGATCCATTGTTGATCTGTACACAGCTGTTGTCATGAACGTTAGGTCACTGTCATGAGACATTCTTGCAAAAAAATCACGGTTTTAGTAACGCAGTAACACAGCGTTCCTACGGGAAAGTAACGGCAATCTAATTACCGTTTTTGCAATAGTAATCCCTTACTTTACTCGTTACCAGAAAAAAGTAATCAGATTACAGTAACGGGTTACAAGTAACGCGTTACTGCCCATCTCTGCTCACCAGTCACTTTACTAGGCACATCTTGTTAGTACTGGGCTGGACCCACTGTTTCCTTCAGAGCTCCTTTAATCATTTGTGACAAGGATTCAACAAAGTGTTGGAAATATTCCTCAGATTTCGGTCCATGTTGACATGATGGCATCACACAGCTGTTGCAGATTTGTTGGCTGCACATTAATGATGTGAACCTCCTGTTCCACCACATCCCAAAGGTGCTCTGTTGGACTGAGATCTCATGACTGTGGACTCACTGTGATGTTCAAGAAACCAGTCTGAGATTATTTGAGCTTTGTTTGGGATCTGGTATCCTGCTGGTCATAAAGGGATGGACATGGTCAGCAAAAACTCAAAGGCTGTGGTCTCATGGTCCTGGGCCTTCAACTCAGTTTTTGTGTTTATGTTCTAAGATCTATATTGGTGTCTCTTGAGCTCAGTCTTCTCTATTCTCATCTCTGCGTCTTTCAGCCTTCCCAGTCATGTACCCATGTCTGCACTAACAGCATTAACGCTGATTATTAATTCAGTCCTGCGTTTTTGGGTCCACAGCTCTGCCTGTCACACACCTAAACCTGTGGATATGACAAAGGTGCATAAATGATGCTCATTTACTCCAAAGTGTGCAAAGAAAATATCCTCCACACCCTTACACCACCAGCAGCTAGCTTGGACCGATGAAATGAGGCAGGATGGATTTCATGCTTTTTTCCAATCATCTATTGTCTAGTTTTGGTCCACGTGAACTGTAGCCTTAGTTTCCTTAGCTGACGTGAGTGAATCCTGTTGTGGTCTTCTGCTGCCGTAGTTGGATGTATGCAGAGATGCTCTTCTGTAAACATCGGTTGTAATGAGTAGTTATTTGAGTTACTGTTGCCTTCCTGTAAGCTCAAAGCAGTTTACCATTTTCCTCTGACCTGTGGCACCAACAAGGCATTTTCAGTCAGTGTATAGAGAATAAAGAACGCTCTGTTTACAACCCAGAGATGACATAAGCAGTTTATGAAATACTCGGACCAGTTCATGTGGCATCAACAACTATGACAACTATGGTGGTCAGTTTGAA